TTTTGTTGTATGGGTTTTATGCACGAGAAGGGTTTTTCTCTTTGATGCGCTTTATTCAAGCTCTGCACAATTTGTGTTGCATTTATTCTATTAGGATGGTTTACCTTTAAGTGCCAGTTGTTCTCATCTCAAGTGCTCGCTGTTCTTTTTGGTTTGTATATATTTTATTACCAATAATACACACTGTAATAGAATAGCCATATACAGATAGTGCACTGTTTAGGAAACTGGAAGAAATAAATTACTGCATGATGTACACAAAGACTGCGCTTTGCTCTTTATATCGGAGAAACCATGCCTTAGTCATGTCTACTCTCTGGATTTCTAGGTGCTCATGTAGAGGAAGTTTAGTGTTGTATAGAACAACCACATCCTTTTTTTGACAGATTGCCTTTCCTTTGTTAATGGTTAGAAAAGGAACCGTTGGAATGTGTAGCAGGTATGCTGCACCCTTCCTGTCCCTATCTTTTTATGACATTTCAAATGACAGAAGAGGTAGCTACATCCCAGCCATTGTTTAAATATCTGAAAATCATCTCTTCGGGTCATAGATTAAAGAGTAATTGTAGTCAGTTTACAGTTAAAGTATATATGACCCCTCACCTTGTAAAATAAATCATTCAGTTTAAAATTAAATTCAAAACATTTGTGCGTATATATAAAAAGTATTATAAATACCTTTTTTATAATTATCACATATCACCTGTTATCAGCTGCATAAGGGGTTTTGAGAGCTGGGGGAGGAGAAACAGAAGCACACTGATCTTCCCAGTGAATGTATGTGCAGGAAAGCGTGTCAGCACAAGTCTTGACCATTGGAGGACAGGCAGGTTGCTCTCCCAGCACATCCAGAAAACTGCCATGCTGGGAAGTAATTTGTTTCTATGCCTAGTGTGGTCAGTTCGAAATAAGAAAGCAGGGGGACTGGCAGAACTGGTGAACAGGTATTTCAAGCAAAGAAAGCAAAACAAAGAGAACAGGATACAACAGTAACACAAGCACACAAGCACACGGTGCAACAAACACTTATCAGGAATATGCAATATTGGGGTAACATATTCTTTAAATTGTGAATTGTGTTACTCATCCAAATATGTGTATTTCTACCATTTTTTGTGGTGCACTGTTGAACAGAGTACCACCAGAATGGTGAGGACCATAGGTCTGTTGAAATACACAGCTTTTACATAGTACTTACCGCTCCTACTGATAACGCTCAGTGCAACCACTGCCTAGAGTGCTGATTTCTGGAGTGCAAGAATTATTAAAGTGTAAAAAAAATACTTCTCTGGATTTTGAAAGAAATCACAAGAAGTGAAGAACCGTGTCAGGGTGGGTCTTAGTGACTTCATCACGCCACCAGAAAAGAGTGACCTGGACATTGCAGTATGGTGATGCTGTGATCTTTCTTTTAAAGGAGGCATGTACCTGTATATGTTATACATTTGCTTTTGAGGTGGTGCACTACTGTTGATTGGTGCACCAATATTGTGAGGTTTCTATTCCTTTGAGTAACTGTGTTGTTGGAGAGCTTGCTGGTCCTACCTGGTATACATAAAGAGACCAGAGATATCTATTAGGAACAAGGAGCTGAAGTTTGGAAGTGACATGGATAAACCCCTTAAAGAGGAACGTGCATTGTGACTTTACGAGGTCGAGTGGGTACGGACAGTGAATGGTGGTGGTTCACACTGGCAGCAATCACACTTGGAATATCCTGAATTTCACATCAGAATAACATTTGGCCTTTATGAACTGCCTGTTTGATTTGCAGCAGTATAGTGGTGATTGCACGCTCTCACATACACATTAGACCTTTTTGCATTTTAGATGTTTTATTTTAGATATGTTGGTATATTGAACACATATTGTTTTACACTGTATGTATATATGGTCATGACACTTTATTATAACATTCATTGTATTCAACATTACAGTTGTCTATAATGCTGTAATTGAGACTTTCATGTAGAGCAAAACTGTATATATAGATTTTTCAGGCAATTATACCAACAGTATTTAAAGCCCAACTCCAGACAAAACTTTCCAGCATATTCTAAAACCTCAAGGACTGCTGAATCGATGTTCCTTTTTTTTTTTTAAACCATAAGAAGGAATGTTTATTTCTTTAATTTATTCTATTCTAAAAAATTCTATAGCACTTTAAAGAGTACACAGACTCTCTTAGTCTAGGTTCACACCTATGCATTTTCCACTGCGTTTTGCAGAAACGCACTACAGTCCATTTTGCAGGTTTTTCTATGGGACAGGTTCACATCTCCACGTTTTCACCCAGTGCATTTTTTGGAAAGGGTCAGGGACTTTTTTAGATGCAAAATGTTGCATTTTTGGTTCTATAGACTTCAATGGAGATGCTGCAGAAAAGCATGTAGTGCGTTTTTTTATGCGTTTTAATCTGCCTAGCAACAAGAAAAAAATAAAGAAAAAAAACCACAAAACGCATCATAAACGTGGCAAAAACGCAAAACACACCGCTAAATGCACTGCGGAACTGGATCAAATGCAAACTGCATAGGTGTGAACCTACCCTTAGGCAGAACACCTATATTTGTTACATGTCCCTGTTTACATAGCATCTTGTGTTTGTTAACAAGAACTGGATCAGGCCAGCTGAGCTAGCTGATAAATGCTTGCAGTTAGTCATGACACCCTCTCAGAAACGGTAAAAAATATTTAAAAAACATTTTTTATTTTTTTTAGGTGTGCTGAGTATATGAACACGGTGAAACTCGCATGCAGTACAGTGGGGTTTTCCCAAATTTGATTTCAAAAGTAGAAATACAACATTAAAGTGGTTCTAAAGGCATACATTTTTTTATCTTAATGCATTTTCTGCATTAAGGTAAAAAAAAAAATTTCTATGGTCAGCTCCCCCCAGCCCCCTACCTAAATACTTACCTGGCTCCTCTTTCAATCCAGCGCTGTGCCTGTCTGTAGCAGCTCTGTTCTCCCTCCCACTTCACACAGGACACAGAGGCAACAGCCACTGGCTTCTGCTGCGGTCAAATAAATTCTGTGAGGAGGGGGCAGGGCTGAGCTGCACTGCGTGTGTCTATAGAACCACACAGCCTAGCACAGGTGCTCTCCCACAAATGTGCCCCCATAGCATACAGCTTGCTGTGGGGGCATTCAGAGAAGAGGAGGAGCAAACAATGCCGGCAGGGGACCCCAGAAGAGGAGGTAAGGGGTTTTGAGTAGGTAAGTATAACGTGTATTATTTTATTTAAATAAATATGCCTTTGCAACCAGTTTAAACCAGCTTTCAAACGTACCCCCATATATGCCATTTTAGTTAAATGCCAATATCCTGCCATTATTTTTTTGCATTGATATAAAACAATTCTGTCAAAAGAAACCTACAGAAATAGAGAACAAATTCAGTGCAACTAGTATTCTTGATGGGAATTAAAATCAGGAACCCAGAAATGCAGGGCATGCCAACCATGGTTTTCACTACACATATGATAAATTACAAAGTCACTCAGGTCAAGGTAAACATTTACAGAAGATATAGTATTGAACCATGGTTATGATGACCAGCGGATTTCAGCTTCATGCCATGTGTAATGAATGGCTCAATAAATGAATTCTGTATCTGTAACATAAACCAGTGGATTAAGATGCACAGTTGGCCGCTGATGCAAAAAAAGAGAATATTTTGCATGGGTATACCAACAATGCTTATAAATGAATTCCAGGAATTGATATTTTATACATAGTTACAAAACTATATATATGCACCATACCTGTGGGACCCCCCCCCCCGGAAACTAAGAATCACTGTAGTAGGCACCACTATTCCAGTGATCTCGACTAGCTTCTGGGTCCCATGTCCGCTCTGCACAGACGTCATTCAGAGATTGCTTTGCATTTTGTAAAAAAAATGCAAACCATTCTCTGATTGGACAATGTGGAGAGTGTAGTGTCACCTCCCCACTTCTCCACCCAATCAGAGAATGCCCTGCATCCATTGAGGAAATACAAAATGATCTCTATATGGTGCCCATGGGACCTGGAAGCTAGTGAAGATCACTGCAGTAACCCTAACCCTAGGTTCACACCTAAGCGTTTTCGGCAGCATTTTACACTTTATAAGAAGTGCACTTTATACAGCAAACAGTTTTTTTTCCTTTTGGGATAAAGATTTTGAAGCGCTCCACATTGCGTCTCTGATTCTGACATTTCATTAATGATCCATTAACCCTAGGTTCACACCTAAGCATTTCCTGCAGTGTTTTACAGAAACACAGTACAGTCCATTTAACATGATTACCTACAGGTTCACACCTGTGCGTTTTCACCCGATGCATTTTTTTGGAAAGGGTCAGGGAAGTTGCATTTTTCGTTTCTATATACTCCAATGGAAATGCTGCAGAACAGCATGTATTGCATTTTTGCCACGTTTTTCATGCGTTTTTGGTATTTAAAATCTGCCTAGCAACAAGAATTAAAAAATGAAAAAAAATGCATCAAAGACGCAGCAAAAACGTAATACATGCTTTTCTGTAGCGTTTCCAATGGAGTCTATAAAAACAAAAACACAACTTTTTGCGCTCAAAACACAACGCAAAACACAATGCATTAATGGCTCAAACACAACCTGCATAGGCATGAACCTAGGTTAAGACCAGAGCAGCCAAAATATGGAGCAGATGTGCATGGCAACCAATCAGCTTCTAGCTTCATTTTCAAAGCTTCACTGAACAAGCTGAAGCAAGAATCTGATTGGTTACTATGTGCAACTGCTCCAGATTCTGCCTGCTCCAGTTTTAGAACATTCCCCCGCATATTTAACTTTTTGTTCCAGTCTGTCCAAATAACTACAGGATAGTTGGATTAACCTCCCTGGCGGTATTCCCGAGTGTAGCTCGGGGTATAGTTTCAGCACCACAAGCGGTGACCCCGAGCTACACTCGGGAATACCTTGCAGCGTTGCTCCGGGATCTCTTCTTCACTTACCTTGTCCTGCGCTCCCGCGATGTCCTCCCTGCAGTGTCCCGGCAATGTCCTCTGGCCAATGCCAGCATCCATCTTCTGGGTTCCGTTCCCTACGACGTCAGGACGTACGGGGGACAGAACGGCGGGAAATTTAAAAATGTGAAAAAGTGACATTCACTAAATACACTAAAATCACATAGTAAAACATTACTGTATCAAACCATTTCACATACATTTTGTCCCGAGTGCTTTGTCCTGTGCCCTGCCTGCATTTTTACTGTTCTTTCTGCCTGGAAACTGAGAAATGTGCATGGCGTCCAAAAAGCGTCCCTTTAGGTCAAAAGCGGTTTTAGACCAGCTAGAGAACAGCGATAGTAAATTAGAACCACTTGCAGAATTGAGTGATAATGATTCGTGGGGGAAATTCGTCATCAAACACTGAAAATGATTTTGCGACTTTGCTCAGTGATGTGCGAACTTGGCGCTGGATTTCAAATTTCAGTGTTTTTGGTTTGATTACATTATTGAAATAAATGTATTATTATTATATTATTTTTTATGACTATTTATTAAATTATAATTTATGATTTCGTGTTTCAAATTTTAACATACCCGGGATGTTTACTGGACTCTTGTTCGGACAGATTTCAGTTAATTATTCCTAAAAATTACAGGCCTACAATAAAAAAAATACATATTTCCATGCAAAAAAAGTACCGCTTTGAGCACAGAAATACCGACATAATCAGACCGCTAGGGAGGCTACTGTTCATCTGTAAACAAATGTGTGGGGTGCTACTACTCTCCTTCTGAAAATACTGGTTACCTGGCTTTGATGCTTCAAAGAAAAGTCCACATTTATAATCTCTATATTGGCTTCAGCCCCGTGACTCTGAAATTATTAAGGCTAGGTTCACACCTATGCAGGTTGCCTTTAATGCATTTTCCTGGTGCGTTTTGTGTTTCTTGACACGTGTTTGACGCATGTTTAAAGTGTTACAAAACCCCGGACCCTGCATTCACTATATCTACTCTCCTACAGTACACACAACATGGAAGTGCAATTATTTTAGTAAATATAAACTGCTAAATACCTTTTCTCATCAGCAGTTAGAGCAGTCTTGTGACTTCTATCAGTGTTCAGCAGAGCACTGGCTACAGCATATAGGAGGAGTTTTCTTTCTGCTCTAGGAGGATGCAGAACCACTGACCTCTGTCTGGACAGCATTGATTGGCCCTGTACTGATCACATGCACTCTCCTAAGAAAAAAACCTCTCTAGCGATTTACACTAAACTGAGCATGTGCGAATGGCTACAGTTCAGTCTGTCTTATCAGATGTGGAAATTTGAAGAGGAGGAGCAGATAAGTCAGGATCAAACAGCCTTTTTACACAGTGCAGAGGATTAATCCCTTAGGTTCCACGGTGAGTATAACAAGCATGCTTTACTGCATATACAGACTGATTTACTGTTGTGGGTTTAGTAACACCTTAATGCATTTTTTATGCATTTTGCCTTTTGGAAGCATTGTGTTTTTGCTGCATTTCCATTGAAGTCTATAGAACCAAAAACGCAACCTGCTGTGCGCAAAAAAGTCACTGGTTGAAAATGCACAGATATGAACACATCCAAAAGGAAATCATGTTAAATGGACCGTAGTGCATTTCTACAAAACTGAAAACACACTGCAAACTGCACAAATGTAATGCTAGCCTTAAGCCAAAGCATTAGCATAACAGTCAGGCAACTAGCATTTTCAGAAGAGAGGTCATCAGTAGAGATGAGCGAATCGAACTTGGCGAAGTGGAATTCGTTTCGAATATTAGGAAAAATTTCGATTCGCACCGAATCCGAATTTTAGCAAACTTCGGATGCACGAATCGAATTTTCCCCGATCAGCCGGCAAAAAGTGTCACTGCAGAGAGCTCCGCTATTTCTGACAGTTCTCTGACAGTTCTGACAGTTCATTTACAGCGGTTGAAACATTGTATCTATTTGTTTCCATTTAGGATACAGATGTTTTTATTCGGAAACAAATAGATACAATGTTTCAACCGCTGTAAATGTGAAGGAACTGTCAGAGAACTGTTAGAAATAGCGGAGCTCTCTGCAGATACACTTTTTGCTGTACTGGAATTCTTCTTCTTTTCATTCTTCTTCTTTTCATTTTTCTTCTTCTTCTTCTTTTCATTCTTCTTCTTCTTTTCATTCTTCTTCTTTTTCTTCTTCATTCTTCATTCTTCTTTTCATTCTTCTTTTCATTCTTCTTCTTCTTCTTTTCATTCTTTTCATTCTTCTTTTCATTCTTCTTCTCATTCTTCTTTTCATTCTTCTTCTTCTTCTTTTCATTCTTCTTCTTCTTCTTTTCATTCTTCTTTTCATTCTTCTTCTTCTTCTTTTCATTCTTCTTCTTCTTCTTTTCATTCTTCTTTTCATTTTCTTCTTCTTTTCATTCTTCTTCTTCTTCTTTTCATTCTTCTTCTTCTTTTCATTCTTCTTTTCATTCTTCTTCTTCTTTTCATTCTTCTCCTTCTTCTTTTCATTCTTCTTCTTCTTCTTTTCATTCTTCTTTTCATTCTTCTCATTCTTCTTTTCATTCTTCTTCTCATTCTTCTTCATTCTTCTTCTTTTCATTCTTCTTCTTTTCATTCTTCTTCTTCTTCTTTTCATTCTTCTTTTCATTCTTCTTCTTCTTCTTTTCATTCTTCTTCTTTTCATTCTTCTTTTCATTCTTCTTCTTCTTCTTTTTCATTCTTTTCATTCTTCTTTTCATTCTTCTTCTTCTTCTTTTCATTCTTCTTCTTTTTCTTTTCATTCTTCTTTTCATTCTTCTCATTCTTCTTTTCATTCTTCTTCTTCTTCTTTTCATTCTTCTTCTTCTTCTTTTCTTCTTCTTTTCATTCTTCTTCTTTTCATTCTTCTTTTCATTCTTCTTCTTCTTCTTTTCATTCTTCTTCTTCTTCTTTTCATTCTTCTTTTCATTCTTCTCATTCTTCTTTTCATTCTTCTTTTCATTCTTCTTCTCATTCTTCTTTTCTTCTTCTTCTTCTTCTTTTCATTCTTCTCATTCATTCTTTTCATTCTTCTTTTCATTCTTCTTCTCATTCTTCTTTTCATTCTTCTTCTTCTTCTTCTTTTCATTCTTCTTCTTCTTCTTTTCATTCTTCTTTTCATTCTTCTTCTTTTCATTCTTCTTCTTCTTCTTTTCATTCTTCTTTTCATTCTTCTTCTTCTTCTTCGTCGTGCCCCGTGACTGCCCAAATGAGTGAAGTGTGCGGTGATTCTAAGATCGACGGCACTCATCTGCATGTCATACTGACTGACAGTATTATTTCTCTTCCCCAGCAGACTCCAAGGGCATTTAAATTAAAGGTACAGTGTTCTGCACTAATATAAAGGCTCTCTGAAGCCTAGAAACCCTTTTAATAAGTTAAATTCGCGGCGAATAAATTCGCATTGAATCGAATTTCTCCCGCAAATTCGGCGAATCAGCCGAATCGAATTTTTGAATAATTCGCTCATCTCTAGTCATCAGTTACAAGCCAGTATTTCTCACAAGTTAGTTTTCATTTAAGCTGCACATGCTGGGGCTGACAACTGAGACTATATTGTAATTTATTCATTAAAGTGTTACTAAACCCAGGACCCTGTATTCACTATATCTGGTCTCCCACAGTACACACAACATGGAAATGCAATTATTTTAGTAAATATGAAATGCTAAATACCTTTTCTCATCAGCAGTTAGAGCCGTCTTGAGACTTCTATCAGTGTCCAGCAGAGAGCTGGTTAAAGCTTGTAGGAGGAGTTTTCTTTTTTGTCAAGGAGGATGTAAAACCTTTGACTTTTGTCTGGACAGTGCTGATTGGCCCTGTACTAATCACATGCACTCTCACAAGAAAAAAAACCCTCTCTAGCAATACACACTAAACTGAGCATGTACATGTGGTTACGGGTTCAGTCGGATGTATCAGGAGATAAGACGTGGACATTTGAATAGGAGGAGGGGCAGAGAAAACAGGATCAAATGGCCTTTTTATACAATGCAGAGGATTAACCCCTTAGGCTCCACAGGGAGTATAACAAGCATGCTTTACTGCATATACAGGCTGATTTTACTGTTGTGGGTTTAGTAATACTTTACGTCATTGTAGGGTGCAATGATGATGTGCAAACTGCAATAACCCATAGCAACCTCTCAGATTTGAATAGACTATGGTCAGATAGAATTGCTGTAGGAAAACTGACTTTGTCTGCCATTGCCAATGGTTGCATGGTTTTATAGAATAAGCCTCTTCATGAGGCCCACAAATGAATCAGATAACAAAATAGTCGTTTGGGGTTTTCTAGTCTTCAGAGTTTTATTGTAGGACCCGTATCAGAAACAGCCTTTCCTGCTATTGCAGTTATACTGCAAGGTCAACAGCAGGATCATGATGAGATGACAATGTGTAATGTGAACACAGACAATTGTACTGTACATACAGAACTGTCACAATTAATTACATCTTCTCATCAATGGGTTGGCATGGACTCTAGCATAATGCCGTTCTTTGCACAGATATGTTGATCTGCAACACCTTTCTATATACTGTTTATGTCATTTTGATCTCCTCACTTAAAGTGGAACTACATTGCAACTGAGCACCACAAACCAAAAACGCTATTTAACTTTTTTTTTAATATTCAAAGCAAACTCATCCATCCATGTCTCCATGCTTTATTTTGCTGAGAAGTTACTTTGAAAATCACCCCCTAGCATTTCTGGTTGTGACCATCTTGAGTAAGGGCAGATGATTCATGTAGCCTTGAATACATCTGCCCTTAGCTCAGGCATGCAGGCAAGAGAGTGTGCTTAAAGCGTAGCTCCACCCAAAAGGGGAAGTTCCGCTTTAAGGACTGCTCTGCCGCTCCCCATTAAGGAATGGCACCTTTGGGGGGCGGGTACCTGACTTTGACAGGTACCCGCTCCCACTTCCGGTCCGATCGCCTAGGCGATTGGAAGCGGAAAGTGTCCTCCCTCCCTCCCTGTAGTCATTTATGACACATGACAGGTCCCAGAAGACTACAGGACCATTCATGAAGAGCAGCGCTATTCGTGCATGCGCAGTGGGTACCCGGCTGTGAAGCCGCAAGCTATCACAGCCGGGTGCCCACA